CTTAATTCACGGAGCACCATCGTACCTCCGTGTATCCAACACACCAGAATTTTAACACTGCAGCGGTTGTACTCACCACAAATATATTGCAATGCCTTACAGCATGGTACCGTACTTCTGTTGCACTAAGGAGTATGCTAAGAAAAGTGCGCTTCGATTCAGTGCACACGCGCGCGTGCTGCAAACAGATCTATAGCAAGTTGTCGAAGCTCTGTGATAAGAGTGTTGGTCGAGGATAATTTTGTAAATTGGGTTAACAGTGGAGCTCACCAGCTACAGTGGAGCTTGCAAAGCCTTTATCCATATAGATGTGCTAAGTGCAGGTTATTATAGAAACGATAGAGGCCCTGCATTTGCTCAACTTGCATTGCGTGCCGATCACAACAGTAATAGTATGTGTGTGTGTGTGATGTGGGTTTTCGTGCATATTAGACAAAGATGTCACGTCTATTCTTGCCTAAAACTACTTCACAAGTGTATTTTTAAGCGAGTCAGTTCTTGATGGTGCACTCCTTCAGCCTTTGCGGTGACACCTTTCTACCTCACATGCAAGTGGGGGACAGGCATCAAATATCAAACCTATCCACACACCTGTTGGATGTGTTTGGTGGACCGACGAAACATCACGCAGACACGTTTGTGGTAAAACGTTGCAAAAGCCCAGTTCTGTGGCCACTTTGAGAAAGATCTAGATACAAACACAATCTCAAATGACACAAATGAACAGAAAGACGGTCATAACAGGATCTGCTCCATCGAACAACATCAGTATGAAACGCTCACCATTTCGATCGTCGACGCTCGCTATGGTCCCTGCAGTTTGCTATATAAACTATGAGAAGGATTTAACGAGTGGCTAGCTATTGAATTGATTCAAATGCGCGATGCATTGCCCTACAAAACTATCCATATTCCAAATATCCCTGTTCCAGGTGCAGACAAGCGGACCCCCAGGTCAACCTTCCGATTGACTACTGAATGGTGCTGTTTCTGGACCAGGTTTAAATTAAGTGTCACAGATTGGTGCACAATCTGAAGCTTAATCGACAACGACACCCATTCGGAATCAGAAGGTGGATGAAGAACCTCGGCTTCAGAGTTTGTGTGCACTGGTGTGCATCCATCCAGATCTGCAAAAACTGATTTCACGGTATGGAAAGGGCCGAATAGGAGTGGGGTGTGGAATATCGCACATTATCGGTAAGGCTGTGCACTGTTTGTGTGCGTGGGGCCGAAGTGCCAAGCGTAGGGGACGACACTGGATCTTGCATTTGTATTCTTGTGTATCTGCACTGGGCACTACTCGACGTGGAAAATTATATCTTGTAATCACTGGCTGTGGAAACGTGCACTATGCTATTGTCAACATGCTTCTTTGCTGTGTGATACATGTAGGGCTTTACATGTTTTATATTCTATTTTGGTTTTTTGTATTTTTTTGGTTTGTCGATGAAGAACATATTGATACAAAATTCAATAGTTAACTGGGAGATCTCAGGACCATAAGTCTATACTATTATTAGCTATAGATGATCGCGGCTTTGTGTCTATATTTTCATGTGTGTCTCTGAGGCTTATGTGGTTTGTGCGTAAGCTTTTATTAGTTGATTTTTAATGTTGTTCATCATTCTTGACTTGTGTATGCAATCATTTAGATTATTTGGGAACAGTATACCCTTTTTTAACAAATCAAGAAAGTATATCAGCCAAGGACTTTGGTTCGTCCTTCAAATATCTTTTATGTTCAAAAGTATTGGAATTCTAAGGTTACGTTTTTGTCTGCAATCCTTCGATATCAATCAAATTAATTTTGTATGAGAAGAAATGATATTCACCTTTAAATAATCTTGATTAATTGCCAAAAAATCAACATTATACATTTGGCTGTATTATTTTTCAATTCATTTATGATTATTTATGATTTTTTTAAAAAAAATTGGTTAGTAGATTTAAAAGTTAAGATTCTACCTTAAGATTAATTTATGAAGTTATTTATTCTTAATTTAACATAACTCTATATCTATTCAAAACTTCATTTTGTATATGTATGTATACATACATACATACATACATACATACATAATTTATTGTAAAATTTAAATTACAATAAGATTTGTATTATTTTTTGTGAGACAAAAAATGACTGAAACGTTTAATATTAGATGGATTGAATATGGTAATTATACATATATATATATATATATATATATGATGAATAAGGAGTCTTTAAATAAAACTTTATAATGCTAGTGTTCAAAACGACAACTTTAATTTTTTTACATAGCATTCACTGTTTTTAACAAACAATTGTTTATTGCAACGAAAGTAAAGAACTTCATCTTGTGATTGTTGCTTTTTTAACATGAGTTCAATACTAAACGCGTTCTTGTATGTTTTTGAAAAGCATCCTCTGACCAAACCTTTTATGACTCCATGTTCCTTCACCCTGAAATTTTGGATGATTTTATAGGTGCTTTTTAAAAGCAAAGAATTAGCATCCATATACTTAAAATAGATTAAGTAGACAAACACAACACGAGACCAATAAAATAATCAAAACTTGAAATTAATAGAATGCCTGGGAAGCACCTGCTCAAAAGCTGTGAGACAATGCTAACTTTCAACTCAGTTTTGCCATGAAAACTGCATCCTGTCCAATTAACCAGCAAAAACAGGTGACTGTGAGACAGAACATTGCTGAATTCATTAACGACAGCCAAGCCATTGGGAACTTCACCATTGAATCACGTGCTGCTTCTGCTAATAAAAACAACAACAACAACAACAGCGTCAAAAATCAAACACTCATCAAACAACCGAATATGCAAAGAACTGCCATCTAAAAAGGAAAGCCTCAGAGACACACATGAAAATATAGACAACCCAGCTTAGCCTTGCCCATGTAGAATGTTTTATGAGGAGTACCCTCATGATCCTCACCGTTATTAATTACTGCGAATACCATGTTTCCACAAATCATAAGCCCGGTACATTCTAACTGGAAACTTCTCCTGGAACATAATTAAACAGAGTCTCCGTTGGATATATTTATCTATCTATCTATGTTCAGAAGTTTTCAAAAATGAAAAAGGCTGGATCGAAGGGTAGAATACTTCGCCGATTGAAACAGACAGTAAAGCAACCAGATCGTGAAGTTGGTGCTTCAGTAGGGTCGTCGTGGTCGTTGTTGTTGTCGAAGTACTACTGATACTACCAACTTCTTTTTATGTATTTTTATACATTCTTGCATTGTTGATCACACCACCTTCTTCATGGCCACCAAACTATGCCGCTGGAAACAGAGCCTACACCTCACACCTGTCGTCCAGTCTGGTCTCGTACGTCCGGTCCTCGTCGATCAACGTTAGGGGCAGTGACTTGTTCACCAGCATGAGCGAAGACGCCAAGCGCAAGCTACTAATCGGAGATCCTATTGGGAGGATTCGCGCTGCAAAGACCTAGCCCAGATTAAGCGGCGCAACTGTGCCGCACGATGAACTGGGGGCAACGCTTAGTTGGCCAGGTCGTGGACCTAATTCGGGACCACGAGTCGACCTTGCTTTCCCTCGCGCACTTGTGCTGGTCTTGTGAGGGTGTGTCGGGGGCCTCCGACCCACCATCGTTGCGTGCCCACGTGTCCTATGGTGACCTTCGACATCTATTTTTTTCGATCATCAACGCTTCGAAGGGCGGGTTCCCGGAGCAGCCCGGCAGGTCTAATGTGTTGTGCGAGACGTGTGCTGCATGGTCCACTCACCAGCAATGCATGCAATTGCTAACTTCATATCCAAAAGATCAATACAGGGCATTGATTATATATGTATATGTATATGTATACATGTGCCCACATTAATAACTCGGCTGCTGAGTTTCTCGTGTAAAATTGAACTAATGATATAATTATCAACATGAAGAAAGAAAGAAAGAAAAATAAATAAAAATTTGGAATGTTACGATTATTGTACCATGTGTAACTTTAAATTACAAGAATGTTGAACATTGTGCATAAACTGATTATGGTAAGGAACATAATCCAAAACAATCCAAGAACTGAAGCTTTTCATCTTTGTAAAAAATCATATTCGGTGACCGTGGCATTTCACTATTGCATTAGTTTCAATATGTTAAAACACAAAATTATGAATTCTTTAAATTATCTTACATCAAAAGTAAAACAAGTTAATCTATACCCTCTTTATCATCCCTTCGTTGTTGACAGTGCCGATTGATACAATATTTTGTAATGTTACAGCATGGGCGTAATGTTCTGATCTTAGTCGGATTCACCCTTCAATCTACACAGAAAAAGATACTGAAATCTCCATATTCGGAGGTGATCTGTGGGTACTGGAATCCAAGACTAGTGGTTCCAGGACTGATGTGACTGAACTCGAGAAGAAGATTAAGCATTTGCAACCATGCTGATTCCAGGAAGTCCTTATGAATTCATAATCTTCCCCAAAGCACAATGTAACTCGAATATTTCTCAATGTGAAACTCGAATATTGCACAATGTGAAATATTTCTCATCAAGGATCTCATGAAAGCTCGGATCACAGTTGCACTCACAAACTAGTCATAGACGTGAACCACTCTTGTGCAGGCAGGAGTCATTATCAAATTCTCTCGATTAGAAAACCCAAGTGCAATGAATTCAATAGAATGATTAGTTTCACTGTTACCCCATACGGAGATTTCTAGATATCTCCGGATTACATTGATCAATCCCCGGATCGAAATCTCCACACGGATGATCGCACAGCTCTTGCGATGGGTTTACTGTCCGTGAGCATCTTCGAAAGACCAACAGCCAAAGGCTGAGGGCAATCTTTCCAGGCTTGAATTCAGCAATTGTAGGCAATAAAGTAGGGTGCGGTAGATCCGACCTTTCATCGCCACGTCCAGGAGGTGGACAGTGACCACGAAAGCACATTTGCTGCAAATGCACGAGATCCTACCGATAGTTCTATATTTTGAAAGTGATATTATTTCAGGCTGACATGGAGCGTTGTAGATGCATTTTGCTACAGAGAGATCCTATTTTCGGCGGCACCGGACTGACTAAGATTGAAAATTTGACTTGCATAGTGCACTACAGTGCCACACATGGGGTGTTCTTTTTAATGATCCAAAGGTACCACTTCATTCGCCTCAGCAGTTCGTGTATATTTGCCATCGTTTGCTGTTTGAAAGTAGGGTGCCACTTCCCTCCTCCTCCATCTTCACCAGTTCCTTCACCAGTTCCCGCACAGGGTGATAACGGAGTCTGCAGAACGAACCTGACGAATTTCTCTGTCTTGAGATCACAGATTATTGACGGTAGGACCATGGCTTCGAAATCTGCACATGGTTTAGTAGGTTTCCTGGTTGCGTTGCTGTTTCTGCAGGTTGCTGTTGAAAGCAAATTGGTTGCAGACAGACATGGTCGTGAGATCACCGAGTCCAACGTCGCCGAAGAGTTGTACGAAGTGCAGCCCTATGAGTACATTCCGCCAGCAGGCGAGGAGGATCCAACATCGGTTCCCAAGGGCAATAATCGTCACATAGCTCGCATTCTACTCAGCTATTCTAACCGTCTATACTGTGAGAAATCGAAAGACTGCAACAATCTCGGGTTTGTTTCGCCTAAGTGCTGTGGAAATCATTGTCAGGATGTTTCTAGCAACAATAGGCACTGCGGCGGCTGCTGGGGGTCCAAGGCTGTGTGCGACACCAAAAATGGATACAAATGTAAGAATGGCAAGTGCTGCAGGGATCCACCCGCCCCTGTGTGCTCCAGCAGGATTAAATGCACTGGCAAGGATACATTATGCTGCGACAGCAAGTGCGTCAATAAGCTGACCAACGACAAGCATTGTGGGAAGTGTTACAATCAGTGCAATCGGTGGACCACTTGTTGCAATGGTTCGTGCAAGAACCTTAGGTGGGATCACAGTAACTGTGGCGCCTGTGGTAAGTGTTGTGGTAAGAACGGTGGTTGCTGCTGGGGCCAGTGCAAGGATTTTAAGACTGATTCTAGAAACTGCGGAGAGTGTGGTAATAAGTGCAAATGGGGAAGAACTTGCTGCGACGGTAAGTGCGTCAACCTTAATACAAACCGCAAACATTGCGGCAAGTGTAACAGGCAGTGTAAGAAAGATTGCAAGTATGGGTTGTGCGGTTACGGCCATTAGATGTTGGTTCCCGATATCCCTTCTTGAAAACCACCCCATGTAACTAATCACTGTAGCAGCAGATTTCGGATTTGATGATGTCCATTTTTTCCGATCTTGCAATAACATGGGGCCGCCGATTGAGCTTCTTTATCTATTTAATAGATGATCAATGACACGTTTTTATGACGTAAATGTTTAGTTTACACACCTTGTGTCTTCTAGTCAGACTAGTCATTGCGTAGGGTGGACCTTTGTTTTGCGTAATCATATACCTGTTGGCAGAGCTCTCAGTTCTAGTCTGAAACTACGTCCGCTCGCTGTACAATAAACAGCCTCGTAGGATTCTCTGCAGAAGTTGCTCATGTCATGAGAGTGCTCTGTTGCTGTCGAATCTTGATGTTACTCATTACGTCATGCTAGTCTGTCCTGCACGTGAATTAAGTATAAGGACCTGGACTGAGTTCATAACGGCGCATCAGGCTTCGTTAACCTAGTCACTGAATGTATGTGTATGTCACTGGCTTTTGTCTATTGGGATCATAGTTCTTAGTTCTCGCCTCTTCATTTCCAGACGGCTCGATGGGCAACTCCGAAAATGCTGCTGTAGTTTTCGGGTCGAGTGTCGTGCATCTTTGGTTAATCATGTGTAACACACATAAATGTTCTAGTCGATGAGAGAAATTGTTACTTAAAGTGGGAGGTAAGTGATAAAAGAAAACGAGGAAATAAATTTTTAGAATTAACGCGGGCCACTCCTTATTGGTAAGGCGAAATGAAAATTGTAATTAAGTACATGCATGCCAATGTTGAGGTTTACAAATTTGTTTTTTGAGGTCATTTAAAATTAGATCGTTATGGGGGAAAGGACACGTTGGTAAAATCTTAAGATGTCACCTTTTATCTGTTGCTGAAAAACTGGGGTTTGCGATTTCAAAATGGTTTGCCAGCAACTTACGAACCACTTATGTGTTCTAATCACTGCCACAGGACGATGCACTGTACAGTTCAAGTTGCATTATTTAATAAGATTTGCATCCAGTGTCAATAAAATTGCTGGCGAGCTTGTATTTGTGACATCTTGCACAACGTGCTTTACTTTGTTTCTAGTAGCGTTACTATTAATACCCGTAATTTCAAAAGATAGTTAATCTTATTTTGTGAGAGCACCTTAAAAAAATAACAACAGTGCTTTTGTGCATTTAATGGCGCTTTCTACCGCCGAATATCATGTTCGTCGTTCGAGCAGAATGCACTAGGATTTCTTTACTTTATATACATTCTAAACCGTTCTTTAATTTTCCTTGCTTTCTGTTCATGCCTATATGTCACGGTTCGCACTAAGTGGTCCAGTAGATAATTCTCTTTTAAATTCGTCGGCGTACGCATCGTTTAATTTCCTCCATCCACAGTCCTCGTATACCACTATATATGGGGCGGTACGTAGATGTACATGGAAGATTGCACTACACTCTTCCATGTACTCTGTTCCCCATGTATGGATGTCAGTGCATCGCGTCATGTGTTCCTGTAATTAGGCCATCTTTGCATAAAAATGCCTTTAACATTTTCAACGGCATTCTATAAAAATTTAAATGTGATTTGTGATACATTTTGATCCAAAAAAACAGTGTCATATCAGCCATATTTGTATTCGTATGAATGGGACGAATACCGAGCACTGTAGGTTTTGAACCCCTCACGTGGATCAGTAGCCTCACCACTGTTCCATTAAGAATGTTCATCGGTCTAACTCATTCCATGTAGCAAACAGACCGCACCTTTTAAACCCTAAACCCAGTTACAACGCGCCTAAGCTACCGTCATTGATCGACATCTTCGACCAGCCAAAGCGCACGATTAACACTCCGGCTGTAGTGGAAGGGTCGCCATCACACCCCAAGCCTATTCTTTTGTTGAGACTTTCGGGTCCGAATAAGGTCAAGTCAGGAGAACGAGTTCCCCTCCTCAAAATTAGAAATAGGGCACCATTTAAAACAGATAGCAACTCAGGCCACCATGCAAACTCTTCTCGGCAAACACGACAGAATCCTAAACCAGAACCTGACCGGAACTGTACTGTACTCACCATGCGAAATGGAACCGCTCCAAGGCATGGCGTGGGATCATGTCACGGCTCTCCGCCTAATAAAAAGCTCTAGTACTACCAAAATAGAGAAAGTGAAGAACTGTTCGGTTGTTTAGACGAGGTACGCTTTCATGTCGTACCGTCACCGAGCTGAAAGTTTATAATCTTGCTTGAAATGGAAATTGACGCTTGTCATCACGATTTGCATACAGCAGTTAGTCATAACAGTCGAGAAGTGTTGATGCAAAACAGGAGGCCTCGCAATTCTGTCAAAGTCACACTGTGCGTGGCACCTTTTGACTAACGCTTCGACTTCCTCCTCGAACTTCCTTGGAATCCATCGGTCAGCTCCATATAGGGTCTCTACCAATCCTATCCTGCCGAAGTGGTCATCTCTTGGCAACCTAGTGTCCCGATTTGCGATATGTTAGTGAGGAGAACTGTCAGTCGGTTGACTTTCATCCATGAACGCGGCACATCGTTTGGCCACTATATCCCTGGTCAATAGTGTTGGATTCTATACTCTCTCTGCTAATGTACACTCGTTTATAATACAAATATCTCTTTATTCAATCTTACACAATTCTTTAGTGTCACAAGAATCTAATACTGAAAGTACTCTCTCTCGTTCGACAACACTCTGCAACTGTATCTCTCTCGAACTAAACTATGGAACACAATAAGCTAACTTACAGACATGTGAAATCCTTTGGTAGTACTGATGAATGAGGAGTAGAATATGTTTGGATGTATTCATCCAACACTCCCACTCATCTAGACATATTCTATAAAGAATGATCTTTTCTACTTTCCTCCCATTTATTATTTTGGAATTGTCTAAGGCCAAGTAGAGTATGTAATTTTTGAAAAATATCTTGCAGTAAAGCCTTTTGTAACATATGTGCTATTTATTAATTTGTATGGATGTATTTGAAATCCATGAGTTTGTTTTCATATTTTTTTATGAATAGCAAAGTATTTTATATTGATGTATTTTGTTCTTTTGTCATACTTAGTATTTTTAATGAGAGCCAATGCAAATTGATTGTCATAATAAATTGTAGTTGGAAGCTCTTGTATAGCATTAAGGAATTGTAATAATCTGTATAATCACAAGGTTTTCTTAGTGGACTCAACAAGAGTGATTAGTTTAGCAATCATCATGGATGTAATTAAAGAACCCTGTTTATGACTCTTCTAAGGAATAGTTATTGATCCAAGAGTGTATATGAATTTGGTGCAATTTTTGGGTCATCTGAGTCACCTCCAAAATCAGCATCTACATAGCCAATCAATTTGGGTGGTAGTTGTTGTGTATTATAATATAGACCATGATCCTTAGTGCATTTTGGATATTATATGACCTTCTTCACTCTTGTCCAATAATTCTGTAGGGACATTCTTCAAAAAGAGACACTCTATTCATAACATAACTAATTTTGTAAACATTAACATGTTCACAACATTTTAATATACACATATGAAAGTCTATAGCATATGAAAGTCTATAACATATGAAAGTCTATAATATGTGAAAATCTATAATATGTGACAAGTTGTGAACATTATATATATATAAAACAATCTACTTTCTAATAATATGGAATATCAATTGCAGGATTTGTGGAATTACTTTGTTTCAAGAATTTGGCATGAGTGTCAACTAGTATTGATATTTCATAGGCCTCTTATAATTTGAAGCAAAGAAGAACATTAGTGATGAAGTGGCTTTGATGTAAGAAGAAAGAACCTATAGATGGACATCTTTGAACTTAAAAGCTTATAAAATAGTCCATGTCGCTACTATTAACTTTAAAAGTAGTTTTGAAGTAGTCTAAAATTTTATCAATAAAAGATAAATAAAAAGAGACTATAATACCATCATCTACATATATGCCAATGATGGTATGTAAAGTCTTGTGGTTATAGTACACACAAGAGTCTGCTTCATTTGCAATGAGATGAAATTGCTTTAAGAAGGTGGAGATACAAAGATTCTATTACTTAACTGATTGTTTCAACTCATAAATACTTTTTTTGAGTCGACAACAATATGTAGGATATTGTGAGTCCTCATAGCCTTGAAGATGTACCATATAATTCTCTTCCATTAAGTCTCTATTCAAAAAAGTACTTTCTATGTCAAATTATTAAAGATACATTTTCTTTGTTGCTACTATGATAAATATTGCATAGATTGAATTATAACAAATCATTAGAGAATATATCTTTGTCAAATCTATGTTAGATTTTTGAGTGAATATCTTAGCAACCAAAAAAGCCTTATACTTTTCAATATTTCTATTTGATTTGTACTTAATTTTATAAATTTATTTGTTAAAAATTAACTTTTGATGATGTGGTTTAGGCATTAAATTATAAGTTTGATTTTATTTGAAAGATATATATTTATAGTCTATTTCTTATTGCCAATATGTTGAATCTGAAGATGATATAGCTTTGATACAAGTTTGTCCTTCATAAATAAATTTGCCTAGTAATACAAGCATTGCTTTCAAATAAGAGATGGATTTTGAAAATAGAGATTTTAAGCTTATAGATTGAAAAGGTGAATTGGAGTTGTCACTCTCTGTAGAATTGAAACTAAGCATTATAGGTGGTGTTGTAAATAAAAGTTCTTGTATGGTTTTATTTTGATGGTGGATTTTTTTTTTTTTTTTTTTTTTTTTTTGAGAATAGTTTTAGCTCAAAAGTCAAGTATATAAGTTTTATCAAAAAGAGAGCATAAATAGATGGAAAAAAAATATCTTTCTATCAATTTTAGTATGTCATTTGTTATTTCTCCCATTGGTCCAAAAGATTATGCTAAAAGATTATAATTCTACCAACTTTATAAGTCGGGATCAATAGTAAAAGATCATTGTGAATTTACTCCCATTGTTGCTAATTCTTAAGGTGAATTTGATGTAAATAGAGAACAATTGATAGTTTGAATTGGTTGTATAATATCATAAACTTATATTGGAAATAGTATATGAGGTTGTTTTTAAAAATATATGAGTGATTTTGAAACATGAATAAAAATATTAACGTAAGCTTATTGATAACTTGGATCAAGTAAAAAAGTAATTATAAAATTATTCATAACGTCATTAA